AGATCAGTCAACAGTCTGCTGTCTGAATCAATAGTGAAGTCTGTAAAACATCACAAGTTCACTCATTCAGCAGGGGCCTGCAATAGACTGTGTAAATAAAGTGAACCCTTTTCAGCATTTCTTTCATTGTCCTTTGAGAATCACGCACTACTGATTTACATTAACCGTATGTTTATTGCTTAATGCTATCACAGGCCAAGCCAACTTGCATTCAGAAATGGCTAAAAGCTTTTAGGGGCGAGTGGAGAGTTTTGCTCAGAGTTTATTCAGCAGTGCTGTAGTAATGGAGCAATAGTTACACAGTTAGCAGGCAGGCTAACAGGTCAGTTTTGTCCCGCTGAGTGAGCGGTTGGATAGCTGGTGGATATAAAAACAGAAGGAGTGTTATCTCTCCCCAGTCACCTCTTTCCTTTAAAATTTCCAATTTGAAAAGTCAGCTTGACATCCACTAGTCTCTTCCCCTTCTCCCCTTTCAGCTTTGGTGTCGTCCTACTCTCTGAGAGAAGCATTTCTAGATAAATCCTCAATGGGAACAGTATAATGGAGAATACTAAGGTCCTGGAGAGTGTTACTGCACAAGGAGACTTTGGAGTGCAGGTTCATAGTTCCTTGAAAGTGGAGTCGCAGGTTTAGAGGATGGTGAAGAAAGCGTTTGGTATGCTTGACTTTATTGGTCAGTGCTTTGAGTACAGGAGTTATGTTGCAGCTGTACAGGACATTGGTTAGACCACTTTTGGAATACTATGTTCATTTCTGGCCTCACCGCTATAGGAAAGATGTTGTTAAACTTGAAAGGGTTCAGAAATGATTTACAAGGATGTTGCCAGGGTTGAAGGGTTGGAGCTATAGAGAGAGGTTGAATAGGCTGGGGCTATTTTCCCTGGAGCATCAGAGACTGAGGGGTGACCATATAGAGGTTTATAAAATCATGAGGGGCATGGATAGGGTAAATAGACAAGGTTTTTTCCCCAGGCGGGGGAGTCCAAAACTAGAGGGCATAGATTTAGGGTGAGAGGGGAAAGATATAAAAGGGACCTAAGGGCCAACTTTTTCACACAGAGGGTGGTGAGTGTACGGAATGAGCTGCCAGAGGAAGTGGTGGAGGCTGGTACAATTACAACATTTAAAAGGCATCTGGATGGGTGCATGAATAGGAAGGGTTTAGAGGGATATGGGCCAAATGCTGGCAAATGAGACTAGATTAATGTAGGATATCTGGTCGGCATGGATGGGTTGGACTGAAGAGTCTATTTCTGTGCTGTTTAGCTCTATGACTCCATGGCCATTTGGCCCATTGTGTCTATGGTGGCCCACTGTAGGAGCAACTCAGCCAATGCTCCTCCTCAGCTTTTCCCCAGAGCCCTGCACATTTTTTCTCTTGTTATGACCAGGGAATGAAGAATAAATCGGCTGCTTTTTAACTTCTCGTTTGACCTTAACAAAGATTTCTTTTTCATTCTTCCTAGCACACAGCTATATTAGACTTCAAAGCAATGCAGTTCACTAAATTTTTAAAAAATGAAGCAGCTAATTATAAGGATATTTGAGTGAAAGGAAGAAATTAATATCAAGAAAAATAATGAAATGTCATGTCCAACTCTCACATGCATTGATGCGCAGGTGTAATTTTTTAAAAAGTGGAAAACATTCAGTATAAGGCAGAAGATCAAAACAAAACAGTTTAAAAATCCTTAAAATCCTCAAAGTGTTAAGCTTTAATCTGACACAGTTGCATAATTGATGCCTTGTATCCACAGCAATGGCGAGATTTGTAGATATCCTTGAGTCTCTTGTAAATGGATAATTCTCCAACTTGCTTTGTCACCAAGCATGGTTTCTCAATGAGATTGAGAACCAGAGAGATAAGCATTGCAGTTCCACTGTTACAAATCCATTTGCTTCTCTCTCTGCTCTGCCCAAAAGCTGTTGCCTGAAAAATAGTTCATATGTGCATTCCTGTGTCTGGCTTAGTTATTTTGTTGCTAAAGCTGGCTATTCTGCATGTCAGTCTTTCATCCCATTGTGTGAAATTTCCAAGTGTAAATCAAACAGGAACTATAGACCTGAGTGACTGCTTTCAGCAATTTCAGTGGATGTTAACTTTAATTCAGACCAAGACTGATGGTTTCACCTGCTTATGTAATCATTGTGACCATCTGAGGTTAGTTTAGGCCTGTACTCACTGTTGTTTCAAAGGATGAGAGGAGTTCTAACTGAGGTAAGGAAGACGTTAAAGGGGATTAACCAGATAGATATAGAAAAGATGTTTCCTCATGTGGGGCAGTCTAGAATGGGAGGTCATAGTTTTAAGCTGAGGGGTGGCAGAATTAACACAGAGGTGAGGAGGAATTACATCTCTCAAAGGATTGTGTAGCTATGGAATTCACTACTCGAGAGTACGGTTGGACTCTGAATAAATTTAGGAGGAGATGGAGATTTTCAATTAGTAATGGGTTGTGAGGAGTGGACAGGAAAATGGAGCTGAGGCTGAAATGGTGTATTAGATGGTGAAGGAGTCTCGAGGAATCATCTACTCCTGCTCTTAATTGTTATCTTCTCATGTCCTTTAGGGAAGGAAATCTAATGACCTTACCTGGCCTGGCCTATATGTGACTCCAAACATACAGCAACGTAGTTGAGTCAACTGTCCTCTGAAACACCCTAGTAGTTAAGGATGAGTAAGAAATGTCACTCTTGTCAGTGATATGTTTGGACAAGCATAATAAGTTTGCAGGAGCTTACCATGAGCTGATTGGCTGCCTCTTTTCTCCATAAGACAACAGGGACTAAATTTTAAAAGCACATCGCTGGGAGCATTCAGAGGGATGGGAAAGATGTTACATAAATGTCGGTTTTTCTCTTTCTGTAAGAGAACTGGAATCAGTATCGACGCTGTCAGGGAGCAGTAAACATCGAGCGATTGTTTTATTGTATAGGTTTATGATTTGTTTGTCAATGCAGCTTATTTGCTTCATGTTAAATTGCAGTCTTTGACGAACAAGTTATTTGCACAAGATTGATTTGAATCAATAGGTTTGTAAATATTCACTTAACCACACACAGTATATCTTCAATTTTCTTTTTATTGCTTATCTTCCACTTAATGTAGTTTGTTTGTTTCTTCTTCCGATTAGGAGTCTAAACCTTAGCAATCCTGAAAGCCAAACTTTGCTCTGATATCCCATTTTCTTAAGACACACTTTGCTTCACAAATGTTTAATTGTGCAATGTAACCGGGACTTATATAGCTCACAGTAGAGAAATCGGTGAAGGAACACACTGACCAAATTCTGATAGGAGGTCGCTGACCAGGAATATTCACTCTGTCTCTCATTCCACAGATGCTGCCAGACCTGCTGTGTTTCTCTAGCACTTTCTGTTTTCATTTCATATTTCCAGCATCTGCAGTTTTTGTCCTTCACACAAACAAATCTATGTTTTCTATTTGTTTTCAGGGTACGGGTATTCTGATTTATTTCACTTCTGTTACATATTCACAGGATGTGGGTGTTGCTGTGTGGTCCAGCAATTATTGCCCATCTCTAGTTGCCCTTGATAAGGTGCTTTCTTGACACCAGGTTATAGTCCAACAGGTTTGTTTGAAATCACAGGCTTTCGGAGCCTCGCTCCTTCATCACCTCACAAAGGAGGAGTGCTCCAAAAGCTTGTGATTTCAAATAAACCCGTTGGACTATAACCTGGTGTTGTGTGATTTCTGACTTTGTCCAGCCCAGTCCAACACCGGCACCTCAACATCTTGAATCACTGCAGTCCATCTGGTGAATACACTGTTCCTGTGGGGATAGATAGGAATTCCAGTTTACTGACCCAGTGACAATGAGGAATGGATACAACCCCTCAGGGTAGTGTGTGACTATTACAGCAACCACATGTCATGATGGCCAGTTCCATCGAACTGTATACCTGCTCTAAAGGAGGATAAAAACCTGACGACAGACAAGTTCAACAGTTACTGAACCCTTTCTAAGCCCAGGTAGTGAAGTTAATCCTAGCCCCCTCTAGAGCAAAGGCTGCTAGCTGAGTCTACCGGATTGGATCAGCTGCTGTCTCAGGTGAGTACAAAAGATCCCACTGGATTACTTCAGCAAACCACGTTGCTACAGGAGGGATATTATTAAACTGGATAGGGTGCAAAAAAATTTACCGGGATGCTGCCGGGACTGGAGAGTTTGAGTTACAAGGACAGGCTGGGACTTTTCTCACTGGAGCGTAGGATGCTGAGGGGTGACCTTATTGAAGTTTATAAAATCACGAGGGGTATAGATAAGGTGAATAGTAGGTGCCTTTTCCCTAGGGTGGGGGAGCTCAAAACGAGGGGGCATAAAGGTGAGAGGAGGAAGTTTTAAAAAGGACATGAGGGACAACTTTTTTACACACAGAGTGGTTCGTGTGTGGAATGAACTGCCAGAGGAAGTGGTGGATTCAGGTACAGTTACAATGTTTAAAAGACATTTCAATAAGTACATGAATAGGAAAAGTTTGGAGGGATACGGGCCAGACACAGGCAGGTGGGATTAGTTTGGTTTGGGATTATGGTCGGCATGGACTGGTTGGATCGAAGGGTCTGTATGACTCTATGACTCTAAGTGCCAGAGGTCATTCCCATGGCCATAGGTTTGTCTTTGACACAGGGGTAATCCATTCAGATCCACTCCACCATGCTCTGCCCCTAGCCCTGAAAGTCTGTCTCCTTTAAATGTCCATCCAATTTCATTTCGAATCACTGCTTCTCTGCCTCTTGGACAGTGGGTTCTGGGTCATTATGACTTATCCAAACCACAGTGCACCAAACAGTTTGGACATTTAGGGCTATAATATGTAGGAGCAGAACAGACCATTCAGCCCATAGGGTGGCACGGTGGCTCAGTGGTTAGCACTGGTGCCAGGGACCTGAGTTCGATTCCAGCCTCGGGCTACTGTCTGTGTGGGTTTCCTTTGGGTGCTCCGGTTTCCTCCAACAGTTCAAAGACATGCAGGCTGGGTGGGTTAGCCATAGGAAATGCAGAGTTACAGGGATGGGGTGGGATGCTTTTTGGGGGGTCAGCATGGATTTGTTGGGCTGAATGGCTTCTATCAGGACTGTAGGGAATCTAAGGGTCTGCTCTGCAATAGATCATGGCTGATCCGATCATTCTCAACTCCTGTCCCTCTTAATTCTGTTACTGAGTAAAATTCTATCTCAGGTACTGGACAGCTGTTTGCAGTGAAGACTTACCACCTAATGAGTGAAGAAATTCCTCCTCAGCTCTGTATTAAATATGTATCCCCTTATTCTGGGATGATGCCCTCTGGTCCTGGACTCCCACAAGGCAGAGCACCCTCTCCCCATTTACCCTGTCCAGACCCCTAGGAATCATGTACGTTTCGATAAAATTGTCTATCATTCCTCTAAATTCCAACAAATACAGGCCCAATCTACTCAACCATACATGATACCAGCCCTAGTGAACCTTCAACGCCAATATATCTTTCCTTAGATAAAGGGCCCAAAACTGTTCGCAGTATTCCAGCTGTGAGCTGACTAGTATCTTTACTCACTTGTGCGAGTTTGGTTACTGTATTTCCACACCTGTACTGTGTTGACTCTTGAAGCACATCAAGAGCTTTTGAAAGTCTGGGAGGCGGTATGGAAACACAATTTCTTTTTGCTTTAAGAAGAAGAACTGAACCTAAATAAGTGAAAGTGAACGTCCGGATAATGTGTAGAAACTGACAGTCAAGAGGGAAAGTCGGAGTTTATTATCTCTGATTATCGTGTTATTTCTCACGGCAGTATTATTGCACTTATTTTTTTAAATGTAATAAATTACCCATTTTTAAAACAGTTGTCTTTGGGCATTGTTTCTGTAATGCCCTCTTTTGTAAGCTTGCTGTCTTCAAACTTGTGGCTGAAGTAATGTGCATAAAGTTGTGGCTCAGTGAAGTAAAGACATGTAGGCCTCAGGATCCAGCTGGGATTCACAAACTTTCTCCAAGATTTCTTTGTAAAAATTGGGCCACAGTTTCATCCTAATGTTTGATTAAAACAAAAGGAAGTATCAACTTTAGAATGTATTTTTCTTAAAAAGAAGCACAAATTAGGCAGCACTGTTTAAGTAGAATCCATTGTGCACTCATTTGTGAAGAAAGTGAAAGCAGTGTATCATGGGTTTGGTGGGAATGGTTCGGGGAGGTTAGTCAGCAAAACGTCTCCCTTCATTCTTGAACTACGCGTAAAAAGCCCAGAAAAAGATACAGACGGCCAGCAGGACAATGGCATTAATGTTGACAACGTTTCTCCACAGGGGGACTTCCGAAATGTCTGTCAGCTTCTGCTGCATGGCTTCCTGCTCCTCTTTGCTGAGCTTCTTCGCCGTTTGGTCGAAACCGCAGAACCAGTTGTAGGTTTTCTTCCAGCAGCTCACGTCTTGGTCCGACTCTGAGAGAACAAGAACAGAGCACAGCAGGTGAGGAACATGGGGGAGGCCGTTCAATTCGAGGTCAGTTCACTCCTACCCCTGTCCTAACAAACATCCCTCAACCATGAAAATTCCAATCCACCCCCCAATACTTTTAAGGGATTTCCAAACTTGACAAACAAATTAAGCCACTCAGCCCTTCACACTTGCTCCAACATTCATTAATATTACAGCTGAAAATCCATCCTCCTGCCTCTGCCCCCCCACCATAATCTTTGGCTTCCATGAAGATTAAAAAGCTATTTTCTCCTTAATATCATAATACGTTCAAATCTGTTTACATGAGAAATAACTTCCTAATTCTGGTTCTAAATGGCCTGCCTTTCATTTTAAGATTTTGGTCCAGATTGTACGGTGAGTGAACAGATCTGACAAATGAGTCTGGCCTGTCCTGGGCATCCCTGTCCTAGGAAACGAGGCCAGGATCCACTCAGCGCAGGATCAGTATTCGAGGCGAAGACGTGCCTTTTTTTTTACAGCATTAGTTGCTCTAATCCAGGAAGCAAGATGTTTGTATGTTGAAAAGGCATTTTGACAGTGACTGAGAGAAGTGAGAGAGGGAGTACGGAGGCAGGTGGGGAGGGGAATAGGAAGCCAGGTGGCTTATGGAATAGGATGCCAGGTGGGTAGCGGGTAGGTTCCCAGATGGGAGAGGGGCAGGATGTTGAGTGGGTGAAGGGATAGGGTGTTGTATCAGCGATTGGGGGTATACTAGGAGCTGGGTTTGTGATAGGATATCAAGTGGATACAGCAGGAGCGACTATCTAAACTCGATATTTTATTGGATGCTGTTATTATTGGTGATGCGGAGGGTGGCAGTGCTGTGGTACCTCCTCAATATTGGTAAAGTGTATTAGGAAATTATTTGACAATGGAGGACATGATTGTAAATGTTATGGTGAATCTCTCCTCAGCTGGATACAATTTATGTTGGAAGCTAGAATTACCATTCTCAAAAATGGTTAACGTTTAAAGAAGAGATAGCACTATGGATATGTGACATTTGACTTATCCAAAACATCAGTTACATTCAATTCTACTTAGCAATACGCGTGGGTTTTGTTGCAAGGTTTTTATGAGGTTACTCAAAACAGTTCATGAGTCACTGAGAAGCAGTTCTGGTGCCACAGTTAATTGGGCAAAGAGACATAAATAGATGTCTATTTTTATGCAGGTTCCAACCCCACAGTTTCTCACCAATGCCTTCCACAACTGACCCTGGTAGCAAGCAGTTGACTGAAGATATTAGCTATGACCTCAACATCCCAGGAGATGGTGGTGGTGAGCTGCCTTCTTGAACTGCTGCAGTCTTTGCATTGTAGTTAGACCCACAATGCCCTTAGGGAGGGAATTCAAGCATTTTGACCCAGTGATAGTGAAGGAACAGCAATATATTTCCAGGTCAGGATAGTGAGTGGCTTGGAGGGGAACTTGCAGGGGGTGGTGTTCTCATGTAACTGCTGCCCTTGTCCTTCTAGATGGAAGTAGTCACGGGTTTAGAGGTGTATCTCAGGAGATCTGGTGAATTTCTGCAGGGCATCCTGTAGATGGTACACACTGCTGCTACTGAGGGTCAATGGTGAAGGGTCTAAATTCTGAAGGTGGATGGGATGCCCATTCAAGAAAGCTGCTTTGTCCTGGATGATTCTTGAGTGTTGTTGGAGCTGCATCCATCCAGGGAAGTGGGGAGTATTCCATCACACTCCTGACTTGTGCCTTGTAGATGGTGGACAGGCTTTGGGGAGTCAGGAGGGGAGTTACTCGCTGCAGTATTCCCAGCTTCTGACCTGCTCTTGCAGTCACTGTGTTTATGTGGCAAGTCCAATTCAGTTTCTGGTCAATAGTAACCCTATTGCTAGTGCAGGATTTAGTGATGGTAATTCCACTAAATATCAGGGGGAAGTTGGTTAACTTTTCTCTTTTGGAGATGATTATTGTCTGACACTTCAGTGGCATTAATTTTACTTATCATCCTAAGCCTGGATATTGTCCAGGTCTTGCTGCATTTGAACACAGACCACTTCATTATTTGAAGGAGTCGTGAATGGTGCTAAACACTGTGCAATTGTTTGGTAACGTCACCAGTTCTGACGTTATAATGAAGGGAAGAGCAAGCATCGAATATGAAGCATGTTGAGCAAATATGCCAAGGGACTGCTGGGACCTGATGTTTGTAGATGTTAGGAAGGCAGTGAAGGTGGAAGCCACCCCTCTGATAATTAAATTGACACACAAGCCCCAATTCATTGTGATGGAAGTAGAGGTTCCCTCCTAATAATTAAGTCCGAAACACCCAGAGGAGCTCACCTTGCCCTTTGTAATCTGTTAAAAGATTGGTTAAAGGAAACAAAATTCCTGATTTCCACTTTATAAGTAACAAATTACCATTTACTTATTTACCCGAACAATGAACAAATTAAATGAGATATGAACAAACCGAACAATTTGCACCTAAGTATTAACTATTCCATAACTGAACAAAATTCTACTGGAATACTGTTCAAATCAACACAAGTCCCATTTAAATAAACCCAATTAGTAAGAAAACAATAAATTAAATTGTAATCTCTCCAAATTCACACAGACAGTGTCTTCTGGAACATTCTGCCTTCTCCAGCCTTTCTTCTGTCGATCTTAAGTCATAAATGTTGTTCTTCCGATGATTCTGCTGTCAGGAATTTTTTTTTCCCGTAATTTCATCAGTGAGGACTTTGAGCTAAAACTGCTGTGCTCCTTTTGATGGGTCTTTTCAGAGGGCTTACTGGCTTTGTGTGAAAGCCAGGCTTATCTCTCAGATGGTGGACTTGCTTTCACTGTAGTTTGGCTCTCCCCTAATCTTCAAAAAAACCTTACTTATATATCCCCTATGACACATCAAATTCTTACCGTATGATTGGTTTCAGGTTGTCAACACCATCAGGTTTTTGAATTCAATCGGCTTTGAGTTGGTGAGTGCTTGGTTTAAATTAATTGGCCAAATTCAAACTTCTTATCAAAACATCGAAACAAGACTGTAAGGCCTTTTGATACATACACTTGTTTCACTTTTTGAGGCTCACTGTATGGTACGTGCAATTTCCAAGCACAGCCAAAGCACAATTTTTTAAAAGGGACCACACGCAGCCTTTTCTCCCCACTATCGTTTGTACCAACAAATTCTAACCTCCTGCCTTCCAATTCATTAGGTACTCCGCCCAACTTCACAACATAGTTAGAGGCAGATGTGAGTGATTCTGTAAGTAAACTGAGAAAAGGATTGACATCTGGTTTCATACCTCACCATCTGCTTTAAATGAAGAACAGTACGACACAGGAACAGGCCCTTCAGCCCACCAAGCCTATGCCAACTCATGACTCCTTTCTAAACTAAAAGCCTTTTGCCTCTTTGCGGTTGTATCCCTCTATTCCCTGCCTACTCATTTATCCATCAGGATGCCTCTTAAATATCGCTAATGTAAAATTCATTTAACAACCTATCCTTGACTCCCAGAACAACACCCTCCCAACTGTTTACCTCTGTCCCACAACTTGTTTTTGTGTGTGTGAGTGTGTGTGTGTGTGTGTGTGTGTGTGTGTGTATGTGTGTATGTGTGTATGTGTGTGTGTGTGTTTGTGTTTGTGTGTGTTTGTGTTTGTGTGTGTTTGTGTGTATGTTTGTTTGTGTTTGTGTGTTTGTTTGTGTGTGTTTGTTTGTGTCTGTGTCTGTGTGTGTGTGTGTGTATATGTGTGTGTGTGTTTGTTTGTGTCTGTGTCTGTGCGTGTGTGAGTGTGTATATGTGTGTATGTGTGTGTGTGTGTTTGTTTGTGTCTGTGCGTGTGTGTGTGTATGTGTGTATATGTGTGTATGTGTGTGTGTGTGTGCGTATAAAGGGAAAGAAGTTATTAAAGAGTAGGAATCAAGCTGAGAGATAGTTCCTGGAAGCTAAATACAGTTGTTAGCTCCTCTGTGAAAATGCTTTGCAATGTCACCTTCATCAGTATCCATTTTGCTATCATTATCTTCATTCTTCCAGTTATCTTCATCCAGATCCTTCCGTGCTTCTGTGCTGTTTCGCAAGCTCCAACACAATCGGTAAAGCTAAAATGAAAATGATATATGTGACTATAATTCAATAGTGAAACAAACACTCATTTTCAAATCTTCAAACAAGAATGATACCTGCAACTGTGTGTGGCACTACGTTTGGACTGTGAAATATGGATTTTGCAATGTGTGCAGCACTGCAAACATCCCAAACACTGTCTCCTCCCAACCATTCCCAACACCTGCCTCATCCCAAATATTCCAAAGAAAC